ATGGATATTTCATCCTAAAAGCACTATAGAGTTTTCTGAACTCAACCTCTGTATAAGCTTTAGCGCACTCGATGAACTTCTTCGCACATGCATCTCTGTGGGTGGCAACGTGTCCTTTCACATTCTGTGACAAATGCCTTACACAATACCCGTGTTGAGACAGAGGGAACACTTCCCTTATTGACTTGATCAAGCTTGGATTCCTATCCGAAATAAACATCATTCCAGGGACATCTGGTGTTACTGACTTCAACTGATTCAGAAACCACGTCCAACATGCATCTTCCTCACCATCAACTACACCAAAAGCAATGGGATAATGATGATAATCAGGATCCTGAGCTGAAGCGATGATTAGAACTCCACCATATACATTCTTCAGGTGGGTTCCATCTATAATGATGACTTTCCTCATCGATAGAAACCCTTCTATGTAAGCTCCCAATGCAAAGAATAGGTATTTAAACCTTTTCTGCTCATCTAATTCCACACAAGTCCGTGTACCCGGATTCACTTTCTCTAACATGTACAAATAAGAATATAGCCACCAATAACTCTCCTCAGAACTTCCCCGCACCTCATTAGCAGCTTTGTTTTTTCCTCTCAGCGCTGTCGAGTATGATACTTTCACGCCAAGCCTGCCTTGAACCATATTGATCAGCGTTTTTGGATCTGGTGTGTCGAATCGACCTGGATAGTCTTCAGCCAAAACAGTTGCAATTAAGTGTGGTGTGCCTTTTCTTTTTTGTCTGATTGTACTTGTAGTAACCCGAGAGCATGTGTGCACCTTGTTGTAAGTGACAATAGTGAAACTATTTGAGTTCATACTCACAGAAGCTTTTTAACCCCACTTGCATCCCTCTTTTGCTCCCCAACATTTTACCACGAAACGTGTGGGATCACTTTTTCGTTTCATACTCAAAATCATTCTCATGTGCACCTTTCTGCAGGAGAGCTTGCAGTCCCTGCCTAGTGTCAAATTCTTGACCTTTATATATATCTAAACCATCTTCCCATCTATGACTTACTTGCGAGTTTCCATCAGAATCTCTGACTTCTGTATCATCATCATACACGAGCTCATATCTTTGTAGAGGATCTGTATCATTTTCTTGCATCTCATTGTCTGGCATTTCATTGTCTTGTATTTCACTGTCCAAAATTTCTAAACCATCTCTAGCGGTAGAAAACATCTCATCATTACTTGGACCTACATCAACGTCAACTCCATGATCCTCTCTTGAAACATGCACGCTTCCATGACTTTGATCAACATCCTTGATGAACTCCACATATAGAACACTTCTACATTGATCCTTACTCATTTGTAGTAGATAACCAAAAACATTTTCGTCATTCCAAATATATGATGGTTTCTTCGTGTTCAAGACCATTGGATAGTAACTAATTTTCAGCTGAGATGTAGCTGCATCTATCAAAACCTTTCTGCAAATTCCCTCCACTAATCCAAGATAAGTGACATCCTCTAAAGATTTCCTCATCACTAAAGTGTGAATCTCATCTTCTACAGAATTCCAAATAACTTTATCACCATCTTTTGAATAGAACCCCCCATAATCAAAACATATGACTGTGCAACCACTGCTACTCATTTCCCCTGAAAAGAAGAAAACAATCGTAAGGTAATTTTATCATAGTTGTACCAGTTTTACTAGTCGTACTTAAGATGTCCAGTTACGCTAGTTGTACCAGTAGTACCCAGAAAGTTTGGTTCATCCTAGTCGTACTAATTCACTTAATATGTCCAGTTGTGCTAGTTGTACTCAGTAGTACCTAAAAAGTTTGGTTAATCCTAGTCGTACTAAATTCACTTAATATGTCCAGTTATGCTAGTTGTACCCAAAAAGTTTGGTTGATCCTACTCGTACTAATATGTCCAGTTGTGCTAGTTGTACCCAGTAGTACCCAGAAAGTTTGGTTCATCATACGAATCATCACTAGTTTTTACGATTCATTGCTCAGTTAACCAAGATATCATATTTAATTAACAATATCAGTTTCTATAGCCTTACCCAACTAGCTCAGCAGCTCCAATGAGAAAAAAAATAATCAAAATTTTCTTTACTATGAAATTCTCTAATTGAGAAGAAATTATGTATTATTTGCTCTGTCTATGATATAAACTTGTTAATTCAATCAAGAAATTGAAAATAGTATAAGAAACAGCAACAACTAACCTTCAATTTCACGCCTCTGATTTTGTCAATGGTGGAAACATAAGAGGAAGAAGACGACAAGGGAACGACCAGAGGTGCAAAAATTTTGGTGGTTGGTTTGGTTGGTTTAGATAATTAATTTTAGGTTGGTTTGAATTAAATTTCTTACCAAACCACCCGAAATTCTTTTTCATTTTTTTTGATTTTTTTTTGTTTATTCATTAAGGAGTAAACAGTCAATTCATTGCAGAGAAGGGCAGTAAGATGAGAGGGGGGCAGTTAGATTTTCTTGGCTGTACGGGAGGGCATATGAGATTAAAGTCCGGAGTTTGGAGGGAGGGATGCGAACGAGTCTCGGCTTCAACTGGTATAAGGAAATGAGGAAGAATAATTCGTTTCTTAGACCATCCTCATCGACATATACTCTTTCTATCGTATCTAAAGTATTTAATATGAATATAATTTTTTATTTAATTGACTTTAAAATTTTAGATGTAATGAACCACTTACCAATAAACATTTGTCTACATATTATTTAGATACGTTTTTAGAATATGTTAAATAACAACTGTATGTGCTTTCTCTTTTTTCTTTTTTATTTTTTTCAATTTTTTTATTAGTAAGATACTTTTGTTAGAAACACTGATAAAGATGGCATTAGAATAATTATCAATATTCGATATTTCTTTTAAAATACAACTGCTATAATCAATATTCGATATTTTCCTTTATGGAAAATATTACAATGAACCTCTTCAGAGGTTTTCTCGTAGGAAAAAAACCATTAAAATGCTGAACTTTCATATTTCAGCCATTTTAAGCATCATCTTTCATATGATCTATTTAAATAATAAATTTTTTATTGACTGATGTTAAAATCACAAACTTATGTTGATTCGACTAAACGATGTTTGATCGTCTGTTAGTGAATTCAATGTCATGCCTAATATGATCAGTCAACATAAGTTTATGATTTAAAGATAATCTACATAAAAATTTGTGATTTAAACTATCCACGCAAAATTTAATACTTATAATAGCCAAAATTTAAAAGTTTGGCATTTAAATAGCATTTTCCTCTTCCTTTTACTAACTGAACTTCAATTTCATCAGTTTACATAACTGCAAAACCAAGTAAATTCAAACTAATTATAAAATATATTTAAATGTAAATTAAATTTACATCCCACCAAAACAACAACAAATGAAAAGATTAAGTTTAACTTAAAAAAAATTAATTTAACCACATCTAAGGACTTTCTAAAAATGCAAATTTTAAGAAAGATTGTGATAAATAAATGACTAGTTGAATGCAATCCATAAATTAGGGAAGACTATCGACTAATTACGTGTGACTAATATCTCCATTATTACGATAACTTTCATATTTAGTTATTTACATAACTGAACTGTAAAAAAAAGATTTGTTGTGTAGTGTGTATGTTTCATACTTTTGTTTTTTCCTTTTTCTTTTTCAAAGATGCCAAACACAAAAAAAACTAGTTCTGCCTTGTTAACGCTATCATAATAAGAAATTACATAGTTTACGTTTAGTAAATAGAAAATCCATAATACGGTGATCATTTATCGCTCATGATCATAATTTTACTGAAAGATTCGAGTTTCAAGTTGTGAGAGAGAACTGTAGTAATCTTGAACTATTTAGGTTTTGTTTAGAAAATCACATTGTTAAGTGAATCATGTGTTATCTCAAAGAACCTCAATAGGTTAAGTTTAAGCTGCTTTTTCATTAGTTTTATTGCTAATTACAACTTCAAAAACCTTAAGATTCTTAATCTTTCACATTGTATAATCTTAAGTTTGAGATGTTTTTTTCAATTAGAAATAAAAGTTACCATTCAGTAAAAAGATTTCATTTAAATGTCAAACTTTTAAATTTCAGTCATTATAAGCATTAAGTTTTGCTTGGACAGTTTAAATCACAAACTTTTATATCGATTATCTTTTAAATCACAAACTTATGTTGACTGGCCATATTATGCATGACATTGAATTCAATAACAGACGTCGATCAAACGACGTTTAGTCAATCTGTTAGTGATGTTAAGGTCGTGCTTAAAATGACTGAATCAACATAAGTTTGTGATTTTAACATCGATCATCGAAAATTTTGTTATTTAAATGGATCACATGAAATATGATGTTTAGAATGGCTGAAATTTGTAAGTTTAGCATTTAAATGCCATTTTTCCCATTTTCTTGTACCCCTTTGAAAATATCTTTTCTTTCTGATCAGAAAAATGCAGAACTATATCAAAAAAATTCTGATATTTTCATGGGAGGGAAGTTAGTTTTCTCCCTTAGTGGGCTGTATAAAATGCAGAATTACGTTCTGACTTCTGAGTTTGCTTTGTCTTCGGTTAATTGTCCCAAATGTAACCATCCTTCTGAATCCAACAAGCGAGCTTTCTTCAAGTCTTGATATCAGTACTTCTCTAGTTTTGATAATAATTTATATGATGAATTAAATGAAGATTAGATTGCTCTGGCGGTGTGAAAGATGGGCAAAAACATTCTCATCTTCACTGGTTTATTTAAAAATGTAAATTTAGTTTGCAACATTTATCCCTACTAATACTATTTTCAAATGAACCGGAGGAAAGAAAAACTCGCTGATATCATTAGAAAAAAAGCCAACAAAATACAACAATTCCAATCAGAAAATAAAAACATTCAAAGAAGAAATATCCTAAGAAAACTCTTTCTACTGTTTGCTCTTCGTCTTGTGAATTTCGAACCCTACAAAAGCATATTATATATTGAAATATAATAGAAAGATTAAACTCTTGGATTAGAGCGAGAGAGAGAGAGATCTCTAATCCGGGTACTTCATCTCAGACATGAGAAATCCAGGCATCTCATAAGAAGCAGAGAACTTCTCAACATCAGCCTTAAGCTCCTCGATCTCCTTGTTGTTCATCAAACCCTTGTTAAAGTCCTTCAACAGCTTCCCGTGCTCCTTCTGAATGTTCAATGTCAGTGTCACGGATCGGCTCAAGAACTCTCCTATCTTCTCAAAGTCCTTCTCCACCAATCCTCTCGATGTCATCGCAGGTGTACCTTTAAATCAACATAAATACTATCAAGATCCGAGAATGAGATTCAATGGCTATTATCAGGGACATTTCATTTCAACCAGTTGCCACTTTCTTACCGATTCTTACACCTCCAGGAGCAAGAGCACTACTGTCTCCAAATACAGCATTCTTGTTCAATGTAATGTTGCACAGATCGCAGAGCTTCTCAACCTTGTTATCTGACAGAAGCAGATTTACACACATGAGGACTAGTTCCATAAATTCTCAAAGGATGCTTTTTTCTCTAAGGTATTGATAATGTTCATTAACCGGTCATTCCAAGAGGACGAAGATCCCAAAAGACAAGATGGTTCTCAGTTCCACCAGTTACAATATTGTAACCCTTGGCCATTAGGTAGTTTGCAAGTGCAACAGCATTTGCTTTCACCTGTTTTGCATAGACCTTGAAGCCAGGAGTATTAGCCTGCTTCAACGCAACAGCTAGAGCACCGATCTGGTGATTGTGAGGACCACCTTGAAGAGCAGGAAATACAGCAGAGTTGATTTTGTCCTCAAAGTCATAGACTGCACCTTCGGGCTGTCCCTTCTTTGGTGGTTTTGGGCCCTTCCTGTAGAAGATCATACCTGTAACACCCCGCTCCCGGCACCTCCGGAACGGCAACGTTTTAACCACTGGGATCAAGCTCTAAAACCTTTATAAAAGTCAAAATCCGCCAACTTGAACTTTAACCGCCATTTCTGTCCTACTAACTTGCAAAGGGGAAAAAAGGAAGACGACAGGGAGGGGGTGAGTAATTTAGGATTACTCAAGAGAACGAACCCAAAATGGGATCCCCATACGAAATACTATACCCGCACACCTAAACCGAGTCCAGACCAACCCCATAAGAACGACTCCCCAATACACCACGAAAACTGACTCCACACAAGCAGACTGACACTTACTAATTCCCCTGCCGCCGGAACATACCACAACGTCACATCTCGAAGGACAACACCACGTCCTGAAGGACAACGCCATGTTCCAAAGGACAACACCACGTCCCGAAGGACAACACCACGTCCCGAAGAACCTGAGTCCACCTGACTCATCCCACCATGCAGAGAGCCCGCGGTTGTTTCTAGCTTGCTAATTAACCATTAATGAACTACGATGCAATCATCACTTATTGCCATACCTCAACATACATCAATCAACACACAACGTCCGTTCTGCCACGCCGTACGCTCGCAGAGTATAACGTTAACACCATGTCCCGAAGGACAATCTCCCCTATCCTGAAAGACCTGAGTCCACCTAACTCATCCCGCCACGTAAAGTACCCACGGTTGTTTCCGACTCATTAGATAGTGGTTAATGAGCTACGACGCAATCATCACTTATTGCTGTAGTCCATCAAGTAACAACGTAGTCAGACTAACCACGTTGGGCAATATAATAAATCACTTATAATACCACCACGCTATAATTCCACTTAATAAGTTATCTCCACATATTCATTAATCCCGCCTTAACTTATTTATTAACACCAACCCATAATACTAAAATATATATATATACCCCGCAATTATATTAATACAACACTACCACAATAATTCTGTTACCATAATCAACTTACCATTAATCACGCTACCAAATTATTTCCTTAATTAACTTCATACCACACATTGAATTATAGCTCGGTAATATTAATACGTTTAATAGCAAATAGACCAACCACATTATGTATATATGTCACGCAACATATAATCCATAGAATATATACACAGAAATATTTATATATATATATACAATTACATATTCACGCCATTAACACTTAACAACTTATTTTATACGTACTAGTAAAAAAAACTGACTACAGTTACGAGATATTTCGTGACTAAGACGAAAATACCGTGACTATATATTCTCATAGTCACGAAAAGTCACGAAAAAACTGTGTCTATACGATCGTGACTAATATTTTTCGTGACTAAATAGCCACGATTTAGCTACGGTCAGTTTCTAACTAAATTAGTCACGAAATAGTTACGTAATTGTGCGTGTCTAACTAGCCACGATATTTGTAGTGGCTATATTATGACTTTAAAAAAAAAATAACAAAAGAAAATAAATTTAAACTAATTTATTATATATAAAACATATCCTCTACCTATTAATTGACAATGTAGTTTAATGAAATATGCTGATTTGTTTTAATTTTATTGGTTAAAAACATCAATCTAACCTAATTAAATGTGACATGAAAATGATGATGTGTAATGATGATGTAATTGTGACATGACATTTGCTAACACATGTGGATTATGATATGGCAAAAAAAAATTATGTGTTTAATTTATTTTAGTTCAAATAATTATTTTATGAAAACTGAAAAATATAAAATATTTAATTATTAATATAAATTGTAAACCATCATTTTTTATCACATGCACAAAACATATGTTATATTTTTTATTACATGCACAGATTTGTACTAGTTAAATTGTATAAAAATTATATCTTCATCACATGCACCGACTATATAATCTAAAGTAACATTAATCTAACAATTAATGTTTAACTAAATTTATTTTTGTTGTCCACACAAAACAGAAGCTAAACAAATATACAAAGAGAAGTTAGAGTATATCACGTTTTGTTAACCGAAGTATGATTATCTACTTTTAACAGTCTTCTTGAGATTGTCTTTACGCAATATAATCCAAAGTAACATTAATTATATCATCAAATTGTATAAAAATTATGAGAATTGTCTTCATCACATACATCGACTATATAATCCAAAGTAACATTAATCTAACAATATTTAACTAAAGAACCCATTTTTGTTGTCCACACGAAACAGAAGCTAAACAAATATACAAAGAGAAGTTGGAATATATTTAAATTCAAATAATTTTCTGTGTTTAATTTATTTTAGTTCAAATATTTGTTTTATACAAAGAAGTCTTAGAGAATTTAGAGGCTAAATAACTGGATAAATTGAAAAAGATTAATTGAAGACGCAGTAAATGGTGAAATTTGCAGCTATATATGTCTGACCCGCAAATCCGCAGCAAGTAACCCGCTCAACCAGTTATCCACGGATCTAACCCATTTGATCCTTTAACATAATAAAATAGACATTTTGTTATAATAAAATGTTTAGTTAAAATTATATTATATTTTGCTATTATGACCTATAATTTAATCGTTCTACCTAATTTTTTATATATTACAAAAAATTAAAATATTTATAAAAATTTAGATATTATATTTATGTAATTAATTTTTTTAAACTGCAAGCATGTTCAGGCCAAACTCCTAATTTTGTTAAAAAAAGAATGCATAATTAAATAGATTTCTTTTTTAAATAATATTATATATTAATGTCCAAACTGGGAAATAACCAACATTTACAAAATTAAAATCATAAACAACCGGATTAAACCAAAACAAGAAAACCCTAATATATCATCGTCGAGAAGCCGTCTTGGAGCTTCAATCCAACTTTGAATGTAGTTTTCCGGTAAGCCATGATATCCGACAATGCCCTGGCCTTCTATTTCTATCAGGTGCCTGGTACAGGTTCCTCGGCGAGTCTTGGCAAAGGAAGCTTTGACGGCTACTCTCCAGCTTGAACTCCTCCTGGATCGACGCTGCCGCCTTCAAAGCAGGTACATATTTGGTTATGAACACGACGAGAGTTCTCCTTCGCTGCTCCACGCCTCGCCACTGTCGTCCATCCGTGCCTAATCTCCGCCGGAGGAGAGAAAAGACCCAATCCCATCCCAATCCCATTTGTTTCTGTGTACACATCCATCACCAACATAAATTGAAAATCTGTTTCTTTTCTTCATCTAGCCTCTGACAAATGAACAAAGAAGCTAAATCGAGCCTCCGAGAAATGAATAGATCCGAGTCAAAAAACACAAACAACGTGCAAAACGAGATCTAAGAGTAAAAAATTGAATCGAGCTACAATTAAGAAAAGAAAGAATGGCAGCCATTATAGATCTCAGATCTGACCTTCTGATCTGAATCGGAGGCCAAAGTCAGAGAAAAAGAACGATGACACTGACGGCGGCGGAGTAAACCGAGAAGAGACATGGGACGGCGGAGCAAGACATCATATCAGAACCCAATCGGAGGTGACTTAGGGTTTTGGGCCAGTTGGGTCGGGAACTGGAGGTGGAGGAGGAGGTTGAGGGAGAGGAGTGTGGAGAGAGATGGTTCAGCCATAACAACGGAGATGGTGGAGGAGTAGATCGGCGATGGTGAAAGAATATGTTTGAGACGACGAGGATAGAGGAAGGAGAAAGGGTCGAGAGATTTTTTGTTAGCTCTCTGGGGCTGTTTTGTTTTCTTTCGTTTAGAAAGGTTTTTCTCTTCTCTCCACCATAAAAAATGAGTTTTATTTTTCTAAGTGTGGGCGCTTATGATAAAATTTAGGCTTTAAAAATTTTGGTGTGATAAACCAAATTATTTGGTGGGAAACCAAAAATTTGGTATTAAAATCCAAATTTTGTGGTTTAATCAAAATAAACCATAATTATAATCTAAAACTAATTAATATTAATTAATATATTTATAATCTGAAACTAATTAATTTGGTTTAGTTTTTATAACAATAAGAAAAATAAATTTTAGTTAAATCCTAAATTTACTATAAATTTCAGTTTAAATCTTAATTTTACAAATATAATGTTTAGAGTTTAATATACTTGTAAATATGTGTTTTAAATTTGGGGTCTAGGGTTTAAATTTGGTAAAGGGTTTGAATTTTGGTGTACATATGTGTTTTACATTTAGGGTATAGGGTTTGAATTTTGGTTAAGGATTTGAATTTTGGTGTATATATGTGTTTTACATTTAGGGTCTAGAGTTTGAATTTAGTTGAGGATTTAAATTTTGGTGTACATATATATTTTACATTTAGGGTTAAAGGTTTGAATTTTGGTTAAGGGTTTGAATTTTGGTTAAGGGTTTGAATTTTGGTGTATATATGTGTTTTACATTTTGGTTAAGGATTTGAATTTGGTTAAGGGTTTGAATTAGGTTGAGGGTTTGAATTTTGGTGTACATATATGTTTTACATTTAGAGTTAAGAGTTTGAATTTTGGTGTATATATATGTTTTACATTTTGGTTAAGGATTTGAATTTGGTTAAGGGTTTGAATTAGGTTGAAGGTTTGAATTTTGGTGTACATATATGTTTTACATTTATGGTTAAGGGTTTGAATTTTGGTTAAGGGTTTGAATTTTGGTGTATATATGTGTTTTACATTTTGGTTAAGGATTTGAATTTGGTTAAAAGTTTGAATTAAGTTGAGGGTTTGAATTTTGGTGTACATATTTGCTTTAGTAGGGGTTATTGGTTCTTGTATTTTGGTGGATTTAGAAATCTTCTTTGGATTTGATAAATTTATTGATTTCAAAATCAGCAAAATAGAAAAAAATCAAATCCACTCAAATACCAAGGTTAGACCTTGTATTTGAGTCTTTGTATTTTAGTCATGAAAATCCTTCCAAATCCATTCAAATTCAATTATAACTCAAATCTTTATAATATTTAGATTTTAAAATGATAGAACCAATAACACTGTATTTCATTATGGATTTTAAAATCATAGAACCACTAACACTGTATTTTAATATAGATTTTAAAATACAAGAACCAATAACACTGAATTTGGTTTGGATTCTCAAATCCATTAAAATACAAAAACCAATAACACCTCCTTACATTTAGGGTTAATGGTTTGAGTTTTGGTTAAGGGTTTGAATTTTGGTGTATATATGTGTTTTACATTTTGGTTAAGAGTATGAATTTTGGTTAAGAGTTTGAATTTTGGTGTACATATGTGTTTTACATTTAGGGTTAAGAGTTTAAATTTTAGTATACATAAGTGTTTTACATTTTGGTTAAGGGTTTGTATTTTGGATTCAGGGTTTGAGTTTAAGGGTTAAAAGTTTAGTTATATTTGGTTATAACTAAATAACTATGCAAGTGTTAGAAATATTTTAAGGATTTAGTTTTAAATTAAAATATAACTAAATATTATCGTACTAAGATTAAAAATGAAAACCTTAAACTCAAAAATAGAAACCCTTAACCAAATTGTTTAGTTATATTTTAATTTACCGATTCTGTTTAGTTATATTTTAATTTAAATATAATATTTTTAATCTTTCTATAATAGTAAGAAAAACAAAATTTTAATTATCCATATACTTGAAAATGTTGAAACTTAATCAAAATCAGTATCAGAATCATAATCACAATTTTTTATAATAGTAACAAAAACAATGTTTAATTATACAAAATTGCCACGAAATTAGAATGGTTAAAGAGTGGTTAACCTTGTCACTGCTATTCTCGTGACTAAACCGTGACTACATTACCACATAAAAGCGATGATATTTGTTCGTGACTATGTTGCCACGAAATATTCGTAACTAATTAGTGGCTAACCTTGCTACACTAGATTTCGTGACTAAAACGTGGCTACATTTGCCACGAATTGTCACAAAATTGTCATGTTTCTTTTCTTTTCTGTTTACGTGACTTTTTCGTGGCTTTTTCGTGACTTGTTTCAGAAAAGCCATAGTCGTGACTCTGTCGTGGCTATAGCCAATTTTTTTACTAGTGACGACCACCATAATGTATGACATGCACCACGACACAACGTAGCTAGCATAATCCTGATTTAACATGAACTCACCTTTGTTATCCCGATATAATCTCAACGATGCGTTTTACCACCCCTAAGCATTACTACATGTTACGGCTACCCACATACACCCGGGAAGGTCCAAACCATAATTTTAATGTGATAAGCATAGGGAAACGTATGGGTAAGTGAATCAGATCTGCCCTCACCTTAGCCTTACGACGACGGCTGAACGTTGATGTTTGAGAAGGTGACTTGCCGCACAAGAAACTCCGAGTTGTGCACTCAAACCTCACGGTTGGTCTTACGGTTGCAGATCTACTTTTCCGGTGACAGGGGCTAGCTCTCCGGTGACAAGTGACTCGCGGTGGTGTTGCCTGGTGACCGGTGGTGATTTGTCGACGATGGCGGCGGTTCCTCACACACACGTTGGCGGTGGCACTCCTCTCTCTTCTCCTTTCTCAGTCAACACGAGCTCTCTCTCTCTCTTTCGCTTCTCTCTTCTCTCCCTTTTGCCTTCTCTCTTTCTCTGGTTTTCTTTCACTTGCGCCGGCTAGGTTTTTGGAAAAATGGAGAGGGAGATACGATTAAGTTCATTACTCCGACCCAGAATACGATTAATCCGGTATGGGTTACATGAGCTCCCAATAGTTTACCAGATAAATTGATAAATCGGGCATTCCCGGCCCACCAAGCGAAACCAGTGGTTTCTTGATCACGACCAGCTAAAGCTAAAGTTCCATTAAAGAGCGTTTCCACGTGGTAGAACTTCCTCAAGGAATATAAGGTTTTCATGAGGCTGATCTTGAGCCGCCATCCAAACACGAATACCTTCGTTTAAAAGAATATTTTTAGTATAGAAAGTTTTAAATTCTAGATTTTCCGCTGCACGAAGTTCCTGGGAAACGAAGTCATAGGCACGTAGGTTCAAAGCTAGACCGACTACTCCAAGAGCACTCAAGATACGCACGAGCGTTTTGGTTGAAGAGGGAGGTGGGCTCACTTGGGCCTGAAGTGCAACCAAAGAAAATAAAAAAGGAAACGATACATTAAGAACAAGATCGATACACATAAGAGTATGCAATATACCTGAGCAGCAACGAGTCCACTGATGTGAGCCATGTCACAGAGCGAAAGAGCTCCAACCTTATTAGCAATAGCTCTCAATCTAGCGTAATCCCAACCCATAGGGTACGCACCACCACCACAGATGATTAACTTAGGCCTGAAATCCATCGCCTTCTCCTCGAGCTTATCGTAATCAATGTAACCAGTGGTAAAGTTCACCTTATACAGAAGACTCTCAAAGTAGATCGAAGTAGTAGAGATCTTCTTCCCACCGGATGTGTAGTATCCGTGAGTGAGATGACCACCTGAAGGTAGATCGAGCCCCATGATACGATGCCTAAGTGTAGGATGCAAAACACAATCAGTTATACTTTAAAGAACTAATCCATACTCATTATGTTTCAAAATGATCTCAAATCTCAACCTAGACAAGTGCTCAAATCAATAAACTCTTTAACATTCATTAAGCTTGTAACCATGAATCCAGTTTGTGCAAATCAAGTGAAAGCATATGGTTTTAGGGTATGGTCATGAGATGAAAATGATCTCATTCAAGTAAGGGCTAATAAACTCAAGGGATCACTCGATGAAAATAATTCTATCTTAGGCAAAATGCTAAAGGTAAAAGCACACTTATGCATGTTATGCATGCAAGTTAAAGCTCTCTTCTACCCTTACCCAAATATGAACCCTAAAGACTTCTAAACCCAAAGTGAACCCCTAAGTCTACCCTTTCCCAAAGAACTTGATCTTCTTCTTCTTCATGTGTGGGGAAACTCCTTCTTCTTTGCTTGTGTGGTTGATCCTTTTTGTTGGGACTTGCTCTTCTTTTGTTGATTAGACACCATTCTTCATCACCCTTTGGTGGATTGCCTTGGTCTGATTTCTTCTTTTGCATGACCTTTCAAAGATTTGTTGTTGGCGCCTCCTTATTTTAAACACTTATAGCTTTTCTTCCCTTTACTTAACCACAAACTCAACTTATTTTCCCCATACTACCATCCCATTCTTCTTCTTCTTCTTAAAAGATATGAACCATGAAGTTCAAGCCACTTAACACTTCCCTTTCACCCAAATTCCTAACCTAGAATCAAGCTCAAAATGCAAGCTGATATCTACAAGAGAGTTTTTCCTTGCCAGCCTTAATTCTTACACTTTTTGCCAAGATAAAATTCGAAAATTATGTATGCAAGGCCTCACTACTCTCACTAAAGTGTTTAGGTTCAAAATGAGGATTGGATAAGGGAGTGGATTAACTGTCCCATAAGTATGAGGATCAGCTATTTGGATCAATAAGAGTGGTAAGAAGGGAAAAAAATGATCTAAATATATATATTGGTAGCCATTAATTCACTTTTCAACACACAAACATGATAATTAAAAATCAGATTGAGGTTCAAATAGATAGTGTTAATTTTCAATGAATAAATGGTTTCAGTATGAGATTAGAGAATCAAATTTAGCAATTCAAACATGGTTCAGTCTTAACTTTTAACTTTTTCATGATGCATCAAACAATTAATCACTTAGACATCTAAATCAATCCTAAACACTTAGCATTTTATTAGGAAAATTCATCATCATGTCCTATGCAAATGCAATGCAACCTACATGCAAACACTAGACTCAATCTTAAACAAATGAAATGCAACTATATGCTCTCTTTTTGGTTTGCAAAACATGCAAAATGTTTCAAATTTGTTTTTTTTTGTATTTTTTATACGCTTACATGTATGCATGAGACTCAAAGATGAAAGAAATGAAAAACTAAGAAAAGAACACACAATGTCAAACCCCAAATCTCTTGTTTCTCCTCCTCTCTTGAGATGAAGATGTTGTTTTAGATGGAGGTACCCAACTAGGCCAATGTGCTTGCACTTGAGTTGGGTTGCCTTGATCATCATACTCCTGCCAAGTGGTGTAAGCTTCAGAAGGAGAGTAGGCTGTCGCTTCCCATGCTGATGACGGTTGACACATAGGGACATAGGATGAAGCCCTAGCTGGTTCCCAAGCTGGCCATTGACCAGTTTGTTGCACTTGGAAGGAATGTCTCCTTTGGGGTATCAAGATTGCTTCCTCTTCTTCATTAGGCTCTTCTTGTTGCATAGGTTCCTCATAGTGTGATGTAAACTCATGACCATGGCTTTGTTGAGAAGCTCCATGTGATTTGGAATTTTTCTTCTTGAACTTCCCCTTCACCAAATTCACAAACTTATTTATGGTTTTATCTTGCCATTTGCACCACCTTTGAAGCTTGTTGATGTGGTCATGAGCATACTTCAGGGAACTCCCTTGACTTGGCACCTCATGAGGTTTGAAGTGAAACCTCTTAGAGCTGTATTCTGGCAACTCATCTTCTTCTTGTTCTTCCTCTTCGGATTCCTCCTCATTTCCAGCGTCAACATCACCTTCTCCTTCTTCTTCTTCACTATCCTCCTCTCTTTCTTCAGTAATGGCGCCACCATAGTAGAGCTGTCTCTCTGTTGGGCAGAAGTCTATGTTGCTCCTCATGGTCATGGATGTGTGTTGTGGGTTGGGAAGAAGAAACTTGGCTGGCTCCTTTGATGGCTTGAGAAACTGATAGATGTGCTTCCCTTGGATACTCTTCTCTAAGAAGTGGCTCCTCTTTAAGTAGCCAAGGTCCATCCATTGAGGTGGCAAAGCATCTGCTTCATGTTCATCAAGGTTTACTCCATTAGCCATCAAAATTGCAGTCACAACTCCTCCAATGTGAAGTTGAGGGTTCTTATCTCTCTTCTTCTTGTTCATGATCCAGCTCCTATAAGTGAAGAGCTACTCCATGAGTAGAGTCACATAACAAGGCAGTTCTTCAGGACTGAGGATAGTCTCTCCATTCTTGCTAGTGTGCACCAGCTTCTTCATGCCATGGAAGGGAATGTCCATCTCCCTTGATGAGATCTTATCAGTCTCCTTCCTTGCAAAGAGGGTGTTAGCAAGCGCCTTGTGAACATATCTCACAGCTGGATGCCTCAGGTCTTTGTCCTTGGTGACTCCAGGAGTGAAATGATCAATCCCAATCACTTCTCACAGCCTTTCATGCTCTCTCATTCTGATCTTGAACTGAGGCTCCTTATCAGTATAAAACTCCATGCCAAGAGCTGCTGAAAGCTCTCTAAAGGTGGCTGTAAACTTCTGCTTCCCAAGCCTAAAGGCTATCCAGCCATCACCATTGTCTAGCTCACTCTCCTCATAACTTGTTACTTGAAAAGTGGAGAGGAAATGAATGGTCAGGTTCTGGTATGAGGGAAGCGCCAATTCCATGAAACTGCCAAGCCCCCATTGCTTCAAAGATTCTCTTGCAGTCTTCATAGATCCTAAGCTCCTTCATAGTAGGGGCACAAGGAAACCTTGTAGCCTTGAATTTGCATTGGCTGAAGAGCTCTACAAACTCCCTTGGACTTGGTTGCTTGCTTGGGGCTTCTTCTACAACCTTGGTTTTTCCCTTAGTCTTTAACTTAACAGCCCTTGAGGATTGTCCTTCAGCAACCTATTTGCCCTTGTCTTTGGCTGCAAGTGATGTTGTGGGTGCCTTCTTCCTTGGTGCTTGGCCTTTGTTTTTAGCAACCTCCTTTGTCTTTCCCATGGTACCTACAAGTACAAATCTCAAAAGACTATAAGTTTGGGAACAAAGGGATAAATAATCATGACTTTAAAGCTCTTAAATTTTTTTTCTCAAATCTAAGAGAGGCTTATTTAGTTATTAAACAAGCCAAACCTCTAAAGAACTAAGAGAATTCAAGAGAAAAAATCATAAACATGCTAGAGTTCTAAGCAAATTTTAATTACTTATGCACATGAACCTAGCATAATGGCTTTTAAACAAAATGAGAAGTGATTATGCATAATGAATTTAATGCAAAGCAAGCTAATAGAATAAGAAACAGTAAACAGCTCTAATATTCAACTTGCTTAAACTAACAAATTCCACCATGCAAAATCAAAACAAGCACTTAAACTAAACAAGACTAGTTCTTAAAGCAAAAGATTCATAACATCTAAAGTTCAAACCATAAGAACAAGTAAATGAATAGTGGAAGAGAGCAAACCTTTTCGGGACTTCTGAGCACTTTCAAAGACTAATAAAAGAGAGAGAGAGAGTTGAGAAATTTCGTGGCTATGGGTGAGAGAAGAGAAAATGTGAAGTGTGAAGAGTGAAGATGAGTTTGTTGGTTTATATAGAACTAAGGAGAGGAGACAAGGAATCTAAGGAGTGGGGGATAAAACCAAAACTACTTAGAAGTGGGTCAGAATGGCAGGGAGGAGCCAAAAAATTCAAATTCAAACTCCCTTGGCTCCGAATCAAGAGAGGAAATTTTTTTGAAGTTAGAACTATTTACCTCGCTGGGCACATCGATCATTTTGATCTATGTGAATGACCGCTGTGATCAATGTAAGTTCCAACACCTTCTGCCCCTTAACATCGTACGATGTAGGCACACCGAGCAACCTTTTACCGATGCTGTTCCTCGATGTAAATTGCTAAACTCTCGGTCAGTTTACATAGTACGATGTTGGTGTCCGACGTGCACCAAATATTTTTCCTCTTCTTCTCACATCGTACGATGGGACTAACCGATGTAGTTTGTTTTACTCTTGGGTTGATTACATCGTATGATGTAAGTTACCGATGTGATCAACCCGAGACACTTCTTTTCCTACATTGATCATAAATAATTGATGTAGTTGCCCGATGTGAATTGATCCTACTAACATCGAGCTCCTCATGGACGATGTGCATGATCGATGTAGCAACATCAAGCTTGGCATCCTCGATGTTGGAGCTCGATGCTGACCAAAAAACATCTTCTTTGGTTCCCCAAACATCTTCTCATCCCCTTATCCAAACTTCTGCTTCTAAGAACACTCAAAATGCATAAAACATAAACTAAAAGCATAACTATATACAAAGGATACCATGTGACTACCTCCCAAGTGTAGTCCATGGAGGAACTTCTCTACAACTTCCCCTTATCCAAACTTCTTCTTTGTTCAAGCTTTCATCAAATCCATGGAGGAACTTCTCTACAAATTCCTGAGCTTCCTCATCATCAATGTTGCTACTTTTGACTTTCCCTCCAAACTCAACCCATAGCCTGTCCATATGTAACAGCATTTCTAGGATTATGATGCCAAGCTCTTCCAATGAG